AGCAGGACAACAACCAAAGCCTTCTTCTTACGATAATTTCCCGACTGAAGCAAGTATGGATATGAAACTTACATCCATGAATAGGGGAACATTCGCCTTTTCTGTAGCCACAAGGACTGCCAGATTTGGACAATTTTCAGGTCCTTTGTGCTGCAACACAGCGAGCCATCATTTCGCAGGAGGGAACCTGAATGGGAAAGAGGCAATGGAATAACACAAAATTAGCAAGTAGTTCGACAAGAACGTATGCCTTTTTATGCATATAATTTCCTAAGTAAAACAAATATGGATATGAAACTTACATCAATATATAGAAGAACACTCGCCCTTTCAGATGCCATCAAGATTGCCTGATTTGGACAAATTCCAGGCCTTTTATGCTTCAACCTAGAGAGCCATTATTGCTCGGGAAGGGACACGGTTATTGCACAAAAGTAGCAAGCAGGAGGACAACAACCAAAGCCTTCTTATCAAGATGTATTTTTGCATTGGGGAGATGTTAATTATATATAACGGGTTTGCCCTTACCCAACGTATATTTATAAGCACTGTATGCTCAGTGCTTGTCCAGGAGGTCGTGGGTTCGAGTCCCACCCGAGTAAACTTGTGAGTTTTTTTCGCAAGCTCTCGGACAAGCACTGAGCATACAGTGCTTATAAATATACGTTGGGTAAGGGCAAACCCGTTATATACAAAGCCTTCTTCTTACGATAATTTCCCGATAATTTAATAACACAAAATTAGCAAGTAGTTTGACAAGAACGTATGCCTTCTTTTGCATATAATTTCATAAGTAAACAAAATATAGATATGAAACTTACATCAATATATAGAGGACCAATCACCCTTTCAGATGCCACCAAGATTGCCTGATTTGGACAAATTCCAGGCCTTTTATGCTTCAACCTAGAGAGCCATCATTGCTCGGGAAGGGACACAGGAATTGCACAAAATTTGCCAGCAGCAGGACAACCAAAGCCTTCTTCTTACAATAACTTCCCAATTGAAGGAAGTATGGATATGAAACTTACATAAATGAATAGGGGAACATTCACCCTTTCAGTAGCCACAAA